CAACAGCAACAGCAACAGCACCAGCAGCAACAGCAACAGCAACAGCACCAGCACCAGCAGCAGCAGCAGCAGCAGCAACAGCACCAACAGCACCAACAGCACCACCAGCACCACCAACACCAACACCAACACCAACACCAACACCAACACCAACAACAACAACAACAACAACAACAACACATCAATAATCAAAAAACAGTACTTCTAAACATCTTCTAAACCCCCAAAAACATAATAGCACTTTATAATCCAACAAAAACACATGCTTCGCCCCTCCAGGCCGGGCGAGAGCGTGGCCTCTTGGGCCCAGCGCTGCGACGTGGCCTTCGTGGGCACCTACCGCAGCGCCCTGCAACGAGCGTGTCGAGCTGGGAAGGACCCAGGCACCGCGCAGAACGCACCGTTGGTCCGTTGGTCAGTCACTGCGGTCGTTCTGGTGAAGGAGAAAAGGCAGCCAGTGGAAGAGGGGGGGTTGGTCTCCATGATGAACTTCATGATCCATATGATCTACAGACTGTTTACTGTAGGTGCTCTCTCTCTCTCTCTCTTGTGGTGTCTATGAGCTGCCACACTGCCAAGGTGTGGGAATTTGTGAGATTGACCTGGTATAGTACCTGGATGTACCTGGCATGTTTATGAAGAACACTGATGACGTAACGATTCAAGACCTGAGATTCAGATTGCAGGCACCACCCTGCTACGCCATGCCGGGGCCATGCCGGGGTACTCGTTCGCACTGCTAAGTGCTAGGCATTGCCAAGTGGCCAGCATGGTCCGTGGAGCCCATCAAGAGCAAGGCACACTTGAAGGAGAGCAGTGCCTGGAGATTTGCCACCAAAAACCAGCGCGGAGTCCGTTGTCTTCGGGGCGAACGACTCGGGTCGGTGGTTTGGGAGGAATCCGCGCCGTGGTTTGAAAGGCCGCAGCATGAAAGCACGTGAGCCCGTGGTTTGGGTCTACGCCTCGTTGGCAGGGCAAGTCAGCTCAGTGTTCAATCAGACGCTGCAAGCGAGACATGTTTGCAACCAAGCCGTTGCTATATTTAGGGCACTTCCATTGTTATAGTAGAAGGGATCACAGTGGCCCAGTGGCAGAGGTATTGGTTGCAACCAGGTACCAAGCTCTTCTCGATTTGATGGATCCTTTTGGAGCGTTTTTCGCCCTGCAGATGTGCCCGTCAGCACCTCAATCAAATCTTCCTCACAGCACTTGGCCAAGTGGGCTTTGAAAAGCCAGGTCACAGTGGTTCTGCTTTCAGACAAGTCTGACGTTCCTCCAAGTAGCCCTGCCTGCTTTGCTACTTGCGGGTAATGATATGTTTGGCATGTCCATAGACTCCATGTATATATTGTATATGCCATATATGCCTACATTGGGGTGGTGGTGCCAGGGGGGGCGGCATATATATGGCAGTCCCATGGAGTCTATGGGTGTTGTTAATCTTATCATTCTTGTGTGCTTCGTCCCAAAAAAGCCGCCAGGAGCGCTTGCTCCTCTCGGGCGGCAAGCTCTTCCACCTCGAAGGTGCCCGGACCTGCTCGGTGCCCGCCTTCCAAGCGCCGCCGCCTTCACGGTGCAGTGCGAAGACGCTGGGGTGGCACTGCCAGAGTGGGGGGAAGAGGTTCCGGAAGAAGGTGGAGGAAGGGATTTCTGGGCGGCGCAGGCTCCAGCCAAAATCAGGAAATCAGGTTTCCAGAAAGCTTTGGTCATCCTCTTTCAATGGTTCGTACATCTTCGTAGGCTGAGAAGGGCGTACGCACTGCACTGCACTGCTGCAATTAGATTCAATTAGATGATATTTTGATGCATGTTACTCTTTAACTCTTGTGTTTTCTAGTGCAAGTGTGCCATCCATGGATTGAATGCTTCAAGCGAGGGTTTGATGCAACGAACGAGCCATGAAAACCAGTGATTTCGCATAACCTATCAGTGCTTTGGCACAGTCAGAACCCTCAACAATCCGTGATAGTGGTGTTGTGTGTGTGTGTTTGTTTTTGGTTTGGATACACATTCTAAACAGATGAGCTGATGGGGGGAACCTTGATGAGCTGATGGGGGGAAGGGCACGACGAAAGATCCTGAGATGTGAGCACCAATCAAAAGAGAACACAACCCAACTACTGCGTTGAATATGCAGTAATGATAGAGTATCTCAATCCCTTCTACATGTGCTCTCCGTATTTCAGTGATATCCTCCTAACATGGACTCTGAAAACATCTCAAAGACCATTGGGTTGTAGAGGAAAGCATGGAATGGCATGCAAACGCTTTGTCCATGTTCAGGGTCCATATTAGTTTGCAGAGTCGGTCTATCCCTGATCTTCACCGATGGCACACAAGGACCCGTAAGGCCGTCTCGAGCCGAGTCTCGTTCAAGGCCGAAGAGCCTCCAGGACGCCTTAAAGATCGTGGCTTGGATTCACCAACTGGTGGACAAGATGTACCCATATATCAAAAATATCACATGATGACACAGGTATACCGTATACCTATATAATCTAGTATATACTTATCATATATGTTATACTCTATCTTGGTCAAACTGTATTTACACTTTACACCATCCATTTTTTGAATAGGACCATTTTGGACACTGATAGCACACCACCAGCCTTCCCACCGGTCCATAAGAGTCACCGGTGCTGTTCGAGCCCGAGGTGGTCAGAGACGTGGCAGTGGAAAGAGACCTGGAGAGATGAGATTAAATGGAACATCAAAAACAATCTGATCTGGAAGGGCACGACCCCCCAAAAACAAATAAAACTGTGTCGAGCTTTGGGCAGGTTTGGGTGCACAGTCTTCATTACATTTGGTACACTGTCCATTTTGGCTCAAGCCAAAAGTGGGACAGTGGAGTTTCTGTTCTGCTAATTTTTGCGGTGTGTGCTGTGGATGACTTCACAGCCTATCGTCGGTGTGCATGTCGCCATGTTCACGGCTGCTGAGGTGCTTTCGTCCGCCGCGTTCATCGAGTTCCGTCGCCAGGTCGATGCCCTTTTGGCCCGGGGGGACCGGGCAGGCGCGATGCGGCTTTGGAGCTCGGTGGTTCTCTTCGAGCACATGCCTCCGTCTTCACGCCCGGGGGACGGGCCAGCTGGGTTCCCCCCTATGCGGATCTCAGTGTGTCCTAAGAGTGCCTGCCCACGGTGCGATCAGGGGCGAGGGGGGCTATGTTTTCCCGTGGGTCGGGATTTGGAACCGGCGCGGGACGATCGTGCCATCCGGGTTCACTCCTCAGCAGGCCTGGGATAGGCATGCTCGGTTGGACGCCAACATGGACCTCCTCTTGTTGCAGCCCCGTACTCTGCCGAGAATTTTGTGCCCTCCTACCTGTGGGAGTTCCAGCAGAAGGTTCCTGGGGATTTTGACCTCTTGCCCCTGCAAACATTTCAATCTGAAGTTCTCTATTATATGCGACACTGGATCATGGGATCACCACATGGGTTGTGGTCCAACCCCTTTCGTGCCCCACTGCCAGATCTTGAGCATCTGCCGCGCCACCTGGAAGCTCTTCACCCGAAGATTCGTGCCCATCGAGCCCTTCGTGGATGGTTGGGGTCCTCAATCAACGGAGAGTCGGAGTTTCCTCCAGCGTGTTGCGGCTGTGGTGATCCCACTTATCGGCAGTGCCTTGCTTGTATCAAAGGAGTGTGTTCCGCCTGTTTCCCAGTGCTCCAAATCTGTCCGGTCTGCCGCGAACTTTCGTCGTCTGATGACGATAGTGGGTAGTTCAGCGGGTGCGCAAGCCATGGTGTACCGTGCACAAGTCGCTGGAGCGGTGGACGCTCCGCCGGACGAACCGGCTTCGTCCTCTGGTTGGCGAGCCGAAGACAGCCTTGCTAGGGTGGCAGGGGCCCGTGCCATCACATGGCGCCGGGAACGGGGCTATGAGAAAGATGAGGACTTTGCCTTTGCCTTCTCTACCTGGGAGGAAGCTGTGGCCGTGGGAGGCCATTTCTTGGCGGACGCTTGGCTCGCAGTCCGGGTTGCCCAGCAGGATGAGCTTCTCCCGGCGGCGGCGCGCTTGCTTGAGGGGGGTCCCCTGCTGCCGGATACACGTCCTCCACTGGTTCGCAAGCGGAAGGAAGTTCCACTTGAGGCGGGGGTACGCCTTCATGAGCGGGTGCAGGATCAGCCCGAGTCCATACAGCGCCAAGTGTTGGCCCTGCAGAAGGTGTTCCTGACCGTGGGGGCGTTGAAGCCGGTTGGCCTATTGACTGAGGCCCTGAAGCGGGATTGGCAGGCCTCCGTCCTTCGCTTGGCCCAGACCAAAGTGGCGGAGTCTGAGTCGGTGACGATTCAGAATGCTCTCCGCACCTATGGGGAGCTCCACGCCTTTTTGCTCCACCGTGGGAGGTCGTTCCCTCCGGACTTTGTGGACATGGACAACTTCCTGCATCAGGGGACGATGGCCCCTACCCGCGCGCTCAATGCGCTTCGTTGGCTGTGCAAGCATTCTGGAGCTCCTTGGGAAGTGGCCCGGCTTCGTATCTCTCCGGAGCTGAAGAAGAAGGCCACTTCTACGAAGAGCCAAGCCCTTGTTGTGGAGCCTGGCATGCTGCAGCTGTTGGAGGAACGCATTGAGAGCATGTGCCATGGGGGGGACCCGCGTTGGACATGTCTTCTCGGCTCTTGGCTGGTGGCTACAGGTTGCTTGCGATACCAGCATCTTCGCCGCTCAACCGTTCGTCGCATCAGCCCACTCGTGTTCCACGGCCACTGTCGCAAAGGCAAGCAGCGTCATGCTCGTGGCGGCTTTGATTGGTGTGCTCCAGCCGAGTTTGCCTCCACCTTCAACTGGACTGTGGAGTGGCTCAAAGCCTGGAAGGCTCTCTCTCCGGTGGCCCAGAAGAGTGCAGGGATCTGCTTTGACGGGCGTGGGACGCCTTGGAACATCGCTGAGGTTCAGCACCTATGCCAGTCGATCTTTGCCGAGTTCCTGGACAATACAGAGCAGTTGACCACCTACTCTTGGCGACGAATGCTTGCCACAGAAGGCCATATTCTGAATTTGTCGTCGTCTGATCTTTGCTCCCTCGGCGATTGGCAGGACAAATCCAAAGAGCCGGCTGAAGCAGGGATGGCATTGCACTATTCGTCAGCTCGGTATGCCCAGTCCCTTCGCAACAAGATCCTGGCCACTTCAGTGGCCCACAGCTGTGAGGGTCACAGCTTTTGGGAGGAGGTGCTTCCTGCCGATTTGGATGGTTTCCGCGAAGTGGCCAAAGACGCGCTTGCCATGGCCATCGCGAAGGACAAGGAGACGAGGTACGCGGCTCAGCCAACCAAGGAGTCGCTGAAGACGCACCTCCAATTCTCCAGGGCCCGAGTCGCTAAGGCAGCGGCAAACAAAATCCGAGGAAGCACCTCGCGCCAGACGGTATCCATGCCGGATGCCATCCGAGGCCGCGTGCTGACGGCTTTCTTGAAGAATGGGCGTCGCCTTTGCGGGGCTTTCCAGATGCCCGAGGGGTGCGCAGAAGGAGAGGAGGTTTGCGGGAACGCTCACCTCTGCGCTGTTCTTTTGGCCCGGGGGCGGGCTTGTGGCGGGAGCCACGGTGCATTTATTTGCACCGAAAAGAAGTACTTGCCGGCCGAGACGCCAGTTCCAGTTCGTGCGGCGGCGGCATCAGCTTCTTCTACTACGTCCTCAAAGGCCAAACCCTCCTCGAGAGCCAAACGCCGGCGAGCGGAATCGCCCCAGCCAAGTGCTCGGCCTGATGCAGCAGAGGCCCTCTCTCCACGGCCCCAGACGCCTCCGAAGGCACCTCCATCCAAGGCGGTTCCGCCCAAGTTGATTGCAACGTCGGCCAAGAAGAAGCCGCGAGGTCCGCGGGATCCCTCGCCTCCACCGCTGGCCAGAACGCCTCCTTGGCGACAGTCTTCAGACCCAGCACCGAGCACCCTGCCTATTCCAGCAGTGTCGCCAGGACCTCAGCAATCTCACTGGGACCGGTTGGCCACCTCAGAAGGGCGTGACACTCTCGCCCCAACCCTGATCATGACGACTCGGTCAGGTGGCCAGCTGTGGCTCTCCGGTATTCCGATCGCTGAGACAGTGCAACATTTCCCGAAGGCTCACCTCCAGATCGCTTGTCTACCACAATACCCCGAGGGTCGGGGGGGCGTGTCGTTGCCGGAGGCATGCGTCATGAAGGTGCAGATGGGCAGCAAGCGCATGGATCAGGAGTTCAAAGCGGCATGGCCTCTCATCCACCAGAGCCTTCATTGTGGTGATTCAGTGCTTGTGCATTGTATGGCGGGCAAGCATCGGGCTCCTGCCTGCACAGCCCTCATCTATGCGCTCATGATGGGCACCTCCGTGGATGAAGCAGCCGAGAAGATCACCCAGATGCGGCCTTGTGTGGAGTTCCACAAGTTCTGCAGGGATCGCACGGCGGCACAGTGGCTTTATACGACAAGGCGCACTCTGTCGTTGCCACCCGTACACCCACAGCCTGCTGGATATCTTGCTTCTGAACGTTCCAACATCCACCTGTGCACGGAGGGCCGCATCGCTCTGTGCCACTTCAAGCAAGGCGAAGCTCGAGTTCAGCAACGGCTCAAAGACGCCCACTTCTGCAGCAGCTTCATGGAAGCAAGTACGTTTGCCCGTCCGGTGTGCGGACCTTGCTGGAGCAAAGCCCCAGCCTCCTGGCAAGCGCGACACTGAGCTGCTGAGCAGCCGTCCAGCCTAGTGATCGCCGGACGGTTGCGCCCCATAAGAGCAGGCGGCCTCCGTAGATGCCCCTTTTTGTAGACTACGTCACGTGTAGACTACCGAGGCGACCGGAGAGCGCGCCACCAGCGGAAAGAAACCTGAGTGTCAGTGACTCTTCTGCTGTGCAGTTTGTCATTTGGGGGGTCATCCCCAAGTCAGCAGGAGTGCTGTGTGGCCCGGAGGTTCCAGGCCTTTGACACTAGAGCGTAACGGCGACGCAGCGTCCATGATTTGAGTTTCATTTTCGTTCATGTGCACCTAGGATCTCCGCCTCGCCAGCTCCTTTTGGCCGACAGAGGCGAGGTGGGTCCTCGTGGTACCACTTTGTGAGGTGGGTCCTCACTTTCCGTAGGGAGGGTCCCTGTGTCCCCACATGGCGTCTAGCTTGCAACTCGTGCCGAGTGACGGTGCGGATGCTGCGGCTACTTTCCGCCAGTTGGGGATTAACTTCAGCATAGCTGAAGCCGTGACCGATGCCTTGGTCAAAGCCCGGCTCCAGAACCTGGAGGAGTTTCGCTTCTTTTTCGAGAGTGAGGACAAGGTCCAACCCTGGTTGGCCAAACTCTCCCTGGGCGAGGATGCCGGTCTTCAGGGGGCGAGGGTTCGTCGGGCGTGGGCCGCCGTATCGCTCTACTTCAAACAATCCGAACAAGATCGGTCTCGCATCTCGGCATCTGATCTAGATGC